TTACCTTTTTACTGAAAATCGCGTAAAACTAAATCTTTTGATCTTTGACTTTGAAGAAAAATTTTTTCCATACAGGCGAAAGATGGGGAACTTTCAAATTTAATTTTTAACCATATTTTAAACAATTTTACTGATTTTCAGCTTAGTAGGAATTTAGGTAGGTTTACTCTTATTTTTTGGTATAATTTGACCGGACTACAGTTAGTTTAAGCAATATAAAAATGCTCTCACACATTAGAACTGCAACACTCTTCTCGACGCGCGTCATCAGGAGATGGAACTATGATGATTTCCTAGTGAAGTTTTTGCTTATTCAATACAGTGGTTCATAAAAAGAACAATGGACTTCTTGCAATGGGACCGTTCTTAGTTCTCATGTCACACTTTGCTAATTCCAGTCATTCAAAAGCAAAAACTTCCAGAGGCAATCTGATTTCAAGATTATTTGGTAGTTTATTAAATAAAAGGTAAAACTGGAACCTCTGGCATAGAATAAATCCAAAACAAGCACCTTCAATTATCGGAAATCATCGACTTTATGTTGATGATAGACACTACCTTGCACTGACGAGTGGCCAAACAGCTCGAAACCGTTCTGCAAGTGTGTTCCAATAATTAAAAATCTATTGCGGCAGTTGTACCGCCAACAGCATATGCAGGAATAACTTCAGTGAAGAATGCTGCACTGACACCAGTCGGATATAATCCAACGCCCTTCGTGGTATTAGCCAGGAGAGTAGTTGTTTTCTGATAGGTGTCAGTCTATTATCCTACAGCGTCTGTAGTTGAGACTGGCTTGAACGAATTGTCCCTTTAGATGATTTGATTTATAGCCAATCTTCAAGTATGTCCACTGACTATATGTGATGTATATTTCATACCGCTTGGGGTGTCCATATCCAGATAAAGAGTTTATTTTGAGGACTTTTTTTTATTTGACATCAAATATAGCCATCAAATATGGCAGAACAACGTTCACTGGGTCAGCTAGTTTACTCTAAACGCAATTATATGATCGCCATTTGGGATTTGTCACTCAAAATATTTTGAAACCTTCAAAAAAATTACAAAAAAATAAAATGAGATTACCTATGTATATTTAATTGTATATTTAAATGAGAATACCTATGTATATTTAATTGAGACATTTTTACTGATCATATGAAAACTCAAATATAAAATTAAAAAAATAGATATGTCCATAATTATAATACCAGATAAATTCACTTTCCTAGAAATTTTTATCAAAGCAAGGTATTGTTATTTATAATCGGTGAACAGAATAAAAAAATTCAAAATCTCTAGAGAAATTCAAAAACAAACTGATTTTTTTTGGAGAAATTAACTTTCATTTTTGAAGGTATTGTTTTTTTGTCACTAAATGTTTTTGACAAAGTATATTTTCTTGTTATATATACATTTGTTTCATAGGATAAATGAGGGAATATTTCAAGTTGAACTCAAATTTTGTGTATATACTGAAATGATTTGGTTAGGGGGTTCGAATTTTTTGCAGAGTTTAAATTTGGTATCTTGAACAACATGGCACATCGAAATATATATTTTTGTAGAATTCAAATCTGTTATCGAAAATATGGTGANCGGTTTTCGTAAAACCCTTTATAGTGAAAATCATACAATAAACTGTATTAATGAGTTTTAATATAGATTTTCATCAAATATAGGCCAGTTCTATTTGTTTATAACGAATGTATACCGTAATTGAACAGCTAACTGTATTTTGTATTTTTTGGTTTGATGAATTTCATCCATAACCATAACTTTTCACCCATAACCAATTCTTTTTTCAGGTTAAGGATTCTTTCAACAATGGTAATAATGGTAGGAATAGCTTTTGTGTTACGACAGTGGCCAGAAGTTCAAGATATTGGTTCACACGTCATGAAGCGTCTCAAAGATATGCTGGATCCAGTCCAATAGTTTTAATACCTCATTCATTTGAGAAACAATTTTTTTGATTGACAGTTATCTATACTGAACATCCTCACATTCTTAGAAAAATTGAAAGTAGTACAGGGTGATTTGAAATATGTGTGGCAATGAATGCATAAGATGCACGAGGTTCAATACACATATTTTCAGTGGAAATAATGAAAGAAAATGTGACATACAAACGTTTGGTGTACAGATGATATGCTCAATAGATATTATAGTTGCTTTGTCTTTATTAATATGTGATAAAACGAGCACCTTGCGTGTGGATTAGGTTCTTCTAAGAAGGCACTGAAAGATAAATTCAATCTTCACTATTTTTCAGATCACTTTTGTTTTTAAAAAAACTAAAGTTTTCAATGTAGAGATGTATAGTGAAGATAGTATTTTACTAGTATTTATATTTTATTTATTTCCCAAATTTATTATCGAATTTTTGCAGCGTAGAGTTTAACACATTTTAGTTTAATCTACGAAGTTCATTATATTCTCTCCAGTTTCTAAAGGATTTATTTGCCATCTTAACCTTTCAATAAGGAACTGACCTTAATAAACCCCGTTGGTACTGGAAAATATGGTGTTAGTCTATTGTTTTGTCTTTATAGTTCCGGATCACCCTGTATGAAGAATAATTCAGCCGTAATCTAAATTGTATTAGTGTTTTTTCTGAGATTACTTGATTGTGGAATTTTTGTGTTTGAATTTATTTCAGTTGCGTAACCTGGATGCGATTTTAAATCATGCCAAGATATTTTAAAAGTCATTTACTTTTATACAATATATTTTATTAGATGAATTAAATTAATATTTATTATGAAGAAATGTGTTTTTTATCCAGAGTATTTTGAAAACTTGAAATGATACCTCTAGATGATGAAATTTGAAATAGCATTTATGAATGCTGAGTAGCATCAACATTCTTCATAAATTTTGTTGAAAATTATATAATTGAGAGTAGCATAAAAACCAACTTTCTCCATGTAACGAAACCACTCTTCTTTCTTAGCATGTCGTTCGTATTCACGGGCATTATTTGTTGTGGTATAATTGTTGCCATTGTTTTGCTTTCTTTTTTATTTTGTGCTACCACTAATAAGCAACAGGCAATTTGCATTCAGTCCATGGTATTGGTGGCTGCATACTCAAAAGGCCAGTATTGACAAACTACGTTAAACGTGGATCCGGTGCATTCCACTGGAACACAAGTTNAGTGATTATTGTGCTTGCTACTAAAAAAAAACAGCAATTACCCAATATATCCACTGATTTGGCTACTGTGCATTATTTTTCATACTATATTCACCAGAAGTTTTAATGTTGGTCACTGAACATTATTAAAATACATAAATATCTTAAAAAATAAATATAAAGAAACTTCACAAAATTAAATAAAATTCAGGAAAAATTTATCACAGTAATTGGTTATGAATAAAAATTATGGTTTCTGTTTCATAAAATTATAACTTTTCAATCAAGTCAAAGTCTACTATTAAAAATTAATGACTGAATTTATTGTAATTTGATTACTTATTAAAATTTATTGATTGTTGAGGATCCCATGCACGATTTTCATTAAGCTACTTATCCAAAAAATACGAACAATCCTTAAAAACTATAGTTTTCAACTGAAGTGCTACACATAATAGCTTGGAGGCACTGTGAGGTCGCTTAGAAGGCAGAGTTCTTCTTCTGTAAATTTGAGCTTATGTGTTTCCCAATTATTATGGTGTGTTCGTTTGAAATCTCCCAAAGTTTTTCTTATGGCAGCCTGAAATTAGAAAAATTAGTTTTATATTTAATAAAATTGATACAAAGGTTCAATAGTCTTTAAAGCTGACTGTTCTCTCGAGAAAAATATCTGGTCGAGGCGGGAATCGAACCCACGATCTTCCGATCGTGAGTCGGGCGCACCACCACCGCGGCCAATTCCACATATAAAAGGTGTATATATAAAAGAGTAAAAGTCAAGTTCATAAAACAGTAGCCATAAAAAGTAACAACTTAAGAGCTCCTTAATGAGTAAGGATAAAAAATATGCATAAGTCAGTTAAGCACGTACAGCACTTTACATAGCTAGTCGCTAACTAAATTCACTCGTTTTCGTAATATCGTCGAATCATTACTGGCTGGATGGCGCCCGCGCTTTTATATGAGGCAGCGGACGGGCCTAGTACTTTCTTCGAGAATGGAGACTAAAAATTTCTCGCTTCGCATTGAAGCTTACCGCCATCTATTGTACAGTTTGACAACTATCGGACAGGAACTAGTTACTGTTTAGTCCCCTAGATGGAGTTACACGAGGAAACGCGCGTTAACTGTAAAGAAGCGGTAAAGTTTGTGTTGAAAGCAAAAAAACATTTTTAAATTAGCCATCGCCCCCCAATCTTCTCTGTGACCTTTACTTCCCCTCTATAGGCCTTCAGCGGCCACTTTGAGAAAGACTAGTGTACAGGCTAATGAAAACTAAACAATGAGCCTATTGTTCCAAACAATGAACAATTGCTTTAATATTTGAAAATAACTGATACAATTTTGGTTCGATTTCATGATATTCTTGAGCCCTTTATTTCTTATTTTCTTCTATATTCCACTTTTCAGCTCCAATATCTGCCGATTTAAATATTCCAGTATGCGGAACATCATGTACATAAAGCCATCACCAAATTTATAACTACAATATAAAATGTATTTACCTGGAATATAAGTGAATTAAAACCACATAAACTTTTCCATTAAAAATGTAAACAGTGTGAACGACAGTAATAAGTCATTAATTGGTCTCAAAATCAAAGAAATTGCCGACATCTCACGTTAGTAAATCTATCTGTCTTCGATGTACTGAGTGCAAACTATCATCCAAACTAGAGTCAGACTAAAGGTAAACTTTCACTGTTTTGTCTTATTATTTCACTTGTAGACGAAAAGGATGCTTTATATAGGCATGTGCTTAATTGATGACGTAAGTGTACTTTTTTGTCGACACAACTGAAAAAAGGTAGAATTTATTGGTAGAAAAAGTCCAATCATCAGAACACTTTGTTCAAAATGTTTATTAAAACAATATAAATCATTCTATGTCAAAAATTATTTAGAAACACAAAAAACCTCGCCCATGTCAAAAGAGTAACCACGATGAAAAAAAAAAAACAAAAGTTAAATGATTATTAAAACTAGTG